TTATACAGAGCGGTGTGTTCATTATCAGTGTATAGATACTCAGTATCATTATACAGAGCGGTGTGTTCATTATCACTGTATAGATACTCAGTATTATTATACAGAGCTGTGTGTTCAGTATCAGTGTATAGATACTCAGTATCATTATACAGAGCGGTGTGTTCATTATCAGTGTATAGATACTCAGTATCATTATACAGAGCTGTGTGTTCAGTATCAGTGTATAGATACTCAGTATCATTATACAGAGCGGCGTGTTCATTATCAGTGTATAGATACTCAGTATCATTATATAGAGCGGTGTGTTCATTATCAGTGTATAGATACTCAGTATCATTATACAGAGCTGTGTGTTCATTATCAGTGTATAGATACTCAGTATCATTATACAGAGCTGTGTGTTCAGTATCAGTGTATAGGTACTCAGGATCATTATATAGAGCGGTGTGTTCATTATCAGTGTATAGATACTCAGTATCATTATACAGAGCGGTGTGTTCATTATCAGTGTATAGATACTCAGTATCGTTATACAGAGCGGTGTGTTCATTATCAGTGTATACATACTCAGTATCGTTATACAGAGCGGTGTGTTCATTATCAGTGTATACATACTCAGTATTATTATACAGAGCGGTGTGTTCATTATCAGCGTATAGATACTCAGTATCATTATACAGAGCTGCGTGTTCATTATCACTGTATAGATACTCAGTATTATTATACAGAGCAGTGTGTTCATTATCAGTGTATAGATACTCTCTATCATTATACAGAGCGGTGTGTTCATTATCAGTGCATAGATACTCAGTATCATTATACAGAGCGGTGTGTTCAGTATCAGTGTATAGATACTCAGTATCATTATATAGAGCGGTGTGTTCATTATCAGTGTATAGATACTCAGTATCATTATACAGAGCGGTGTGTTCAGTATCAGTGTATAGATACTCAGTATCATTATACAGAGCGGCGTGTTCATTATCAGTGTATAGATACTCAGTATCATTATACAGAGCGGTGTGTTCATTATCAGTGTATAGATACTCAGTATCATTATATAGAGCGGTGTGTTCATTATCAGTGTATAGATACTCAGTATCATTATACAGAGCGGTGTGTTCATTATCAGTGTATAGATACTCAGTATCATTATACAGAGCGGTGTGTTCATTATCACTGTATAGATACTCAGTATTATTATACAGAGCAGCGTGTTCATTATCAGTGTATAGATACTCTCTATCATTATACAGAGCGGTGTGTTCATTATCAGTGTATAGATACTCAGATCATTCTACAGTGCGGCATGTTCATTATCAGTGTATAGATACTCAGTATCGTTATACAGAGCGGTGTGTTCATTATTAGTGTATAGATACTCAGTATCATTATACAGTGTACAATACTCAGTAGTATTATACAGAGCGGAGTGTTCATTATCAGTGTATAGAAACTCAGTATCATTATACAGAGCGGCTTGTTCATTATCAGTGTACAGATACTCAGAAACATTATACAGAGCGGTGTGTTCATTATCTCATTATCAGTGTACAGATACTCAGTATCGTTATACAGAGCGGTGTGTTCATTATTAGTGTATAGATACTCAGTATCATTATACAGTGTACAATACTCAGTAGTATTATACAGAGCGGAGTGTTCATTATCAGTGTATAGAAACTCAGTATCATTATACAGAGCGGCTTGTTCATTATCAGTGTACAGATACTCAGTATCGTTATACAGAGCGGTGTGTTCATTATTAGTGTATAGATACTCAGTATCATTATACAGAGCGGCTTGTTCATTATCAGTGTACAGATACTCAGTAACATTATACAGAGCGGTGTGTTCATTATCTCATTATCAGCGTATAGATACTCAGGATTATTATATAGGGCGATGTGTTTATTATCAGTGTATAGATACTCGGTATCATTATACAGAGCGGTGTGTTCATTATCAATGTATAGATACTCAGTGTTATTATACAGAGCGGTGTGTTCATTATCAGTGTATAGATACTCAGTATCATTGTACAGAGCGGTGTGTTCATTATTAGTGTATAGATACTCGGTATCATTATACAGAGTGGTGTGTTCATTATCAGTGTACAGATACTCAGTATTATTATTATACAGAGCTGTGTGTTCAGTATCAGTGTATAGATACTCAGTATTATTATACAGAGCGGTGTGTTCATTATCAGTGTATAGATACTCAGTCTCATTATACAGAGCGGTGTGTTCATTATCAGTGTCTAGATACTCAGTATTATTATGCAGAGCGGTGTGTTTATTATCAGTGTATAGATACTCAGTATCATTGTACAGAGCGGTGTGTTTATTATCAGTGTATAGATACTCAGTATCATTATACAGAGTGGTGTGTTCATTATCAGTGTATAGATACTCAGTAGCATTATACAGAGCGCTGTGTTCATTATCAGTGTATAGATACTCAGTATCATTATACAGAGTGGTGTGTTCATTATCAGCTTATAGATACTCAGTATTATTATACAGAGCGGTGTGTTCATTATCAGTGTATAGATACTTGGTATCATTATACAGAGCGGTGTGTTCATTATCAGTGTATAGATACTCAGTATTATTATACAGAGCGCTGTGTTCATTATCAGTGTATAGATACTCAGTATCATTATACAGAGCGGTGTATTCATTATCAGTGTATAGATACTCAGGATCCGTATACAGAGCGGTGTGTTCATTATCAGCGTATAGATACTCCATATCATTATACAGAGCGGTGTGTTCATTATCAGTGTATAGATACTCAGTATTATTATACAGAGCGGTGTGTTCATTATCAGCGTATAGATACTCAGTATTATTATACAGAGCGTGTGTTCATTATCAGTGTATAGATACTCAGTATCAATATACAGAGCGGTGTGTTTCATTATCAGCGTATAGATACTCAGTATCATTATACAGAGCGGTGTGTTCATTATCAGTGTATAGATACTCAGTATCATTATACAGAGCAGCGTGTTCATTATCAGTGTCTAGATACTCAGTATCATTATACAGAGCGGTGTGTTCAGTATCAGTGTATAGATACTCAGTATCATTATACAGAGCGGTGTGTTCATTATCAGTGTATAGATACTCAGTATCATTATACAGAGCGGTGTGTTCAGTATCAGTGTATAGATACTCAGTATCATTATACAGAGCAGTCAATGTATAGATACTCAGTATCATTATACAGAGCGCTGTGTTCATTATTAGTGTATAGATACTCAGTATCATTATATAGAGCGGTTCATTATCAGTGTATAGATACTCAGTATTATTATACAGAGCGGTGTGTTCAGTATCAGTGTATAGATACTCAGTATTATTATACAGAGCCAAAACCGCTAGCATCAGTGTATAGATACTTGCATCATTATACGCTTGTTCATTAACAGCGTATAGATACCCTCAGCATATTATATACAGAGCCGGCGGTTCGTATTATCAGTGTATAGATACTCAGTATTATTATACACAGAGCGGCGTAATTCATTAATATCATGTATAGATACCAGCATCATTATACAGAGCGGCGCAGGTTCTATTATCAGTGTATAGATATCAAAACATTATACAGAGCGGTGTATTCATTATCAGTGTATAGATACCAGCATCCCAGATATTGAGCGTGTGTGTGTTCATTATCAGCGTATAGCTACTCAGTATCATTATACAGAGCGGCGTGTTCATTTTCAGCGTATAGATACTCAGTATCATTATACAGAGCGCTGTGTTCATTATTAGTGTATAGATACTCAGTATCATTATACAGAGCGGTGTGTTCATTATCAGTGTATAGATACTCAGTATTATTATACAGAGCGGTGTGTTCATTATCAGCGTATAGATACTCAGTATTATTATACAGAGCGTGTGTTCATTATCAGTGTATAGATACTCAGTATCAATATACAGAGCGGTGTGTTTCATTATCAGCGTATAGATACTCAGTATCATTATACAGAGCGGTGTGTTCATTATCAGTGTATAGATACTCAGTATCATTATACAGAGCAGCGTGTTCATTATCAGTGTCTAGATACTCAGTATCATTATACAGAGCGGTGTGTTCAGTATCAGTGTATAGATACTCAGTATCATTATACAGAGCGGTGTGTTCATTATCAGTGTATAGATACTCAGTATCATTATACAGAGCGGTTCATTATCAGTGTATAGATACTCAGTATTATTATACAGAGCGGTGTGTTCAGTATCAGTGTATAGATACTCAGTATCTTTATACAGAGCGGTGTGTTCAGTATCAGTGTATAGATACTTGGTATCATTATACAGAGCGGCGTGTTCATTAACAGTGTATAGATACTCAGTATTATTATACAGAGCGGCGTGTTCATTATCAGTGTATAGATACTCAGTATTATTATACAGAGCGGCGTGTTCATTATCAGTGTATAGATACTCAGTATCATTATACAGAGCGGCGTGTTCATTATCAGTGTATAGATACTCAGTATCATTCTACAGAGCGGTGTGTTCATTATCAGCGTATAGATACTCCATATCATTATACAGAGCGGTGTGTTCATTATCAGCGTATAGATACTCAGTATCTTTATACAGAGCGGTGTGTTCAGTATCAGTGTTTAGATACTCAGTATCTTTATACAGAGCGGTGTGTTCATTATCAGTGTATAGATACTCAGTATTATTATACAGAGCGGTGTGTTCATTATCAGTGTATAGATACTCAGTATTATTATACAGAGCGGTGTGTTCATTATCAGCGTATAGATACTCGGTATCATTGTACAGAGCTGCGTGTTCATTATCAGTGTCTAGATACTCAGTATCATTATACAGAGCGGTGTGTTCATTATCAGTGTATAGATACTCAGTATTATTATACAGAGCGGTGTGTTCATTATCAGCGTATAGATACTCAGTATTATTATACAGAGCGTGTGTTCATTATCAGTGTATAGATACTCAGTATCAATATACAGAGCGGTGTGTTTCATTATCAGCGTATAGATACTCAGTATCATTATACAGAGCGGTGTGTTCATTATCAGTGTATAGATACTCAGTATCATTATACAGAGCAGCGTGTTCAGTATCAGTGTATAGATACTCAGTATCATTATACAGAGCGGTGTGTTCATTATCAGTGTATAGATACTCAGTATCATTATACAGAGCGGTGTGTTCAGTATCAGTGTATAGATACTCAGTATCATTATACAGAGCAGTCAATGTATAGATACTCAGTATCATTATACAGAGCGCTGTGTTCATTATTAGTGTATAGATACTCAGTATCATTATATAGAGCGGTTCATTATCAGTGTATAGATACTCAGTATTATTATACAGAGCGGTGTGTTCAGTATCAGTGTATAGATACTCAGTATCTTTATACAGAGCGGTGTGTTCAGTATCAGTGTATAGATACTTGGTATCATTATACAGAGCGGCGTGTTCATTAACAGTGTATAGATACTCAGTATTATTATACAGAGCGGCGTGTTCATTATCAGTGTATAGATACTCAGTATTATTATACAGAGCGGCGTGTTCATTATCAGTGTATAGATACTCAGTATTATTATACAGAGCGCTGTGTTCATTATCAGTGTATAGATACTCAGTATCATTATACAGAGCGCTGTGTTCATTATCAGCGTATAGATACTCAGTATCATTATACAGAGCGGTGTGTTCATTATCAGTGTATAGATACTCAGTATTATTATACAGAGCGGTGTGTTCATTATCAGTGTATAGATACTCAGTATCATTATACAGAGCGGTGTGTTCATTATCAGTGTATAGATACTCGGTATTATTATACAGAGCGGTGTGTTCATTATCAGTGTATAGATACTCAGTATCATTATACAGAGCGGTGTGTTCATTATCAGTGTATAGATACTCAGTATTATTATACAGAGCGGTGTGTTCATTATCAGCGTATAGATACTCGGTATCATTGTACAGAGCTGCGTGTTCATTATCAGTGTCTAGATACTCAGTATCATTATACAGAGCGGTGTGTTCATTATCAGTGTATAGATACTCAGTATTATTATACAGAGCGGTGTGTTCATTATCAGTGTATAGATACTTAGATCATTATACAGAGCAGTCAATGTATAGATACTCAGTATAATAACACGGGGCTTCGTGCCCATTGTTGTAGATACTCAGTACTATTGTATGTGCTATGTTAGACTGGCACTCTCAGTCCACCTCCCTCCTTTGCTTTGCCGTCTCTCACAATAGGCGTTGCTGTAATTCTGGGATGGATTGTGGAGGGAGAGGCGGAAACTGAGATCACAGGACAGGCATCAATGCTGGGAAAGCCGTGAGTTGTGTGGTTTGGATGGAGCTGCAGTGACAGAGCTGTGTGTAGGGTCAGTGCTGGAATAGCAGAGCGAGCTGTGTGCAGGGTCAGTGCTGGAATAGCAGAGAGAGCTGTGTGCAGGGTCAGTGCTGGAATAGCAGAGGGAGCTGTGTGCAGGGTCAATGCTGGAATAGCAGAGAGAGCTGCGTGTATGGTCAGTGCTGGAATAGCAGAGAGAGCTGTGTGCAGGGTCAGTGCTGGAATAGCAGAGAGAGCTGTGTGTAGGGTCAGTGCTGGACTAGCAGAGAGAGCTGTGTGTAGGGTCAGTGCTGGAATAGCAGAGAGAGCTGTGTGCAGGGCTAGTGATGGAATAGCAGAGGGAGCTGTGTGCAGGGTCAGTGCTGGAATAGCAGAGCGAGCTGTGTGCAGGGTCAGTGTTGGAATAGCAGAGAGAGCTCTGTGCAGGGTCAGTGCTGGACTAGCAGAGAAAGCTGTGTGCAGGGTCAGTGATGGAGTAGCAGAGAGAGCTGTGTGCATGGTCAGTGCTGGAATAGCAGAGAGAACTGTGTGCAGAGTCAGTGCTGGAATAGCAGAGAGCTACATGGCACACTGTGCAGTCAGAGCAGGATACAGCGAACGTGCAAACTGTTGATGCCTGTGAGTGGAGGTAGATACAGGACGGTAAGCTGTGAGTGGAGGTAGATACAGGTTGGTAAGCTGTGAGTGGAGGTATAGACAGGACGGTAAGTTGTGAGTGGAGGTGGATACAGGACGGTGGGCTATGAGTGGAGGTAGATACAGGTCGGTAAGCTGTGAGTGGAGGTAGATACAGGACGGTGGGCTGTGAGTGGAGGTAGATACAGGACGGTGGGCTGTGAGTGGAGGTAGATACAGGTCGGTAAGCTGTGAGTGGAGGTAGATACAGGTCGGTAAGTTGTGAGTGGAGGTAGATACATGTCTGTAAGCTGTGAGTGGAGGTAGATACAGGTTGGTAAGCTGTGAGTGGAGGTAGATGGCAAGCTGTGAGTGGAGGTAGATAGAGGTCGGTGAGCTGTGAGTGGAGGTAGATACAGGTTGGTGAGCTGTGAGTGAAGAAAGGTGGCAAGCTGTGAGTGCAGGTAGATACAGGATGGTGAGCTGTGAGTGGAGGTAGATACAGGTCGTGAGCTGTGAGTGGAGGTAGATACAGGTTAGTGAGCTGTGAGTGGAGGTAGATGGCAAGCTGTGAGTGGAGGTAGATACAGGTCGGTAAGCTGTGAGTGGAGGTAGATACAGGTTGGTGAGCTGTGAGTGGAGGTAGATACAGGAATGAAAGGTAGTGGATATTATATAAAGGTAGTGGATATTATGTTATATAAATATATTTGCCATGCTATGTGCATACCTTCATCTCATGCTTCTTTTATGTTATACTATTAGTTAGTGCGCTACAATCACGCAGGGATACAGCACCGAGTACACTAACAATCGCACAGAGTACAATAACAATCACGCAGGAATACAGCATTGTTTAAACTAATAATCACACTGACAAAGATACGGCACAATATATATATTATTATTTAATATACATTGGGTGATGGGCAAATAATATGATGGGCCGTATAGGAAGCGTACGAAGAATAGCATAGTATAGGGAGAGATAAGTCGGTTGAGGTGTGCTGGAACCGACTTTGCGGTAGGCCTGTAATAAGAGGGCCCACCCATGAGGTGTAATGAAAAGTATAGATAGAGGGAGTGTAGGGTGGGGACATGCGAATCGCTAAAAGCACGTACTGGACGGAAGACGGGGAGTAGGGGGGGTTTAAGTAGGGTAACATGCCCCTCCCACAACTGCAGGCCAAGCCTTAGCATTTATATATTATACTGATCGAAGAACTATTACACTAATCGTCACATAGACAAACTCAGAATTACACAGACTGACAGAAGCACAATAACAATCACAGACAGTAAGAGACAATGCCAGTAATCACACAGAGTACATTAATCGTCACACAGACAAACTAAGAATTACACAGACTGACAGAAGCACAATAACAATCACACAGACAGGCAGTGACAGAGGACAATGTCTCGCACAGAGTACACCAATAGTGACACAGCACAGTCATAGAGGTACTGCATGGGGTAAACTAATAATTACACAGACACAGGTACAGCACAATATATACCAACACAATGCATACGAATAATCATGCATTCAGAGGTACAGCACAGTGTACACTGATAGATAGATAAACCGAGGTACAGCACAGTCCACTATTCATTCACAAAATGTTGAATTGTGGAAGAGGTTTGTTAAGTATGGGCCAAAAATAGAGCATTTGCTAAGTTTGGATGTTTTGGCCTACACTTTGCATTTCACTCGGAGGTCCCTGGCAGGTCACAGTTTAGTGGCTCTTCCATTTGAAAGGTGAAATGCGATGGTGTCTCAGTTCATCTAATTTATGGCTGTCATTCTCTCATTCTCTAAAGGTCTCTCTCATCATGTCGACCCCGGATAGTCCTGATGGATGTCTCCTCCCCACACACCTCGACAGTGATGATTTGAAATTTCCACATGATGACGTGGACTCCTGCCTCGACTACGATGAAAATGGTAAGGACCCAAACAAACTCACAAAGGACAAAATATTGAATGGCAGTTTCGTGTTTCATTGGCTCGCTTAGAGCATTGTTACATCTTCATAATATTAACTCAGTGTCTGCCAATACCTCTCGAGCTGCTCAGAGTTTCTTTCAATAGACTGGCTCTGTAGAACGATAATAAAGTTTAGGCCAGCTCTGTTAGGAAACGTGGACATGGGCCAGGAATCGCAGAACTCCAAAGACTCCATTATCCATCTTCAAGTTTTTTGGGGGTGACAAATGAGGGTTTTGTGTGATCTACTCAACAAGAATGGAGCCAAATTGTGTGAAATGTATCTGACCAATACCTTTATGTGATACAGGTAGGGGCTTATTTACTAAACAGAGTTTGTGGATGATCGCCAAGACAATAGCATTTGGGGGGTGGTAAAGTAACTAAATTGCAAAATTTCTCAAATTTCACTATATTTCCATCTGGCTAATTTTGGGCTAACATTCAGTTCTCCAAGGTTCAGATGTTGAAATATAAGGATGTTTGGAGTAACTAGTAATAAAAGGCTGGGATTATTTTATTACTTTTTATATAACTTTTTTCATTTTGCGGTGCAATACTGCAACACTCACGAACTCCTCACGAACGAACTCCTTGTTTTTCTAAAAAATAGTTTCTTCTTTTCATGTGAAGTTCTCAGATGAGCAACTGTTAAACATGGTTGCCAAGGGGAAAAACATTTCCCCTCCACCCTCCCCCCACCTTCTTTTTATTCTCTAATAAAAGGAAAATATCTGAAGGTATGTTCCCTCGGGTGTACCAGCTACTCAGCTTGCATGCGTGCATTGCAGGACAAATTGCTACACATAATATTTCTGTTATTTTGGGAAATATGCACATGGAATATTCTTTTTATCTTTCTTGTTTTTTCGGCTGCTGACCTCACTGATTGTGTTTGGTGGCTGCTAGCCCAGTCTGTTAGAATCCCTTCTGTGCCAAATGGTTTCCCTGAAAGAATCAAATGGTTTTAATTAAGTGTCACTTGGCAGCCCGGGATGCAGGAATGTTGGTGGTGGCAGTGACTGTCCGGATTGGCTGGTACACAATAAATACATTTAACACAAAATGTAAGAGACACACATCATGATTAATATCTTTCTTTGTCAGCCACTCAGGGTTTTTCCAGCTAATTTTAGCTCAGACTTGCTGTTATAACGAGGACCTCCACCCTTAGTAAATTGGACTTATCTCCTACATCGGGGCTCCTCGTAATCGCCAAGCTGCTCCTCACAGTCTGACAGATTGTGATTGCCCTGCTTACTGTCATTTATATAGAAGGATTACGTGACATTATTCTTGGACTTGCTTAGTTTGAGTTCAGGCTGAGTGTGACCTGGCTCGTGGAAATCAAGAGAGGATTTGGGTTTGGAAACTGGTGGCAAATATGGATCTCGATATATTGCTGTGTCTTCCTGCATCACGAGGAAGACCTTCATTGTACTCTCCTCCCCGCTGCTCCCTCAATAAATTTTAGTTATCCATTCGCTCCTGGTTGGACATTGGCACCATCAATTAAATGTTTCTCTTGAGCTTCTCTCTTAATCATTTCATCTTTTATTTTAAATAGTTAGCTATTTCAGCTTACTCTGGTTCAGCATCCCTCTTAAAGATATATTCCTTAAATGTATCTAATGAGCAGGACATGTCTGTTATGCTCCAGCCGATCTCAAAGGGGACGTTTTTAAATAACGGACTGAATGGCATTTTGGGAGTCCTGAGAATCTGATTTAAAGGTTGCTGAATTCCTTTAGAAACTATTTCTTATAATCGGTTTCTAGTGAAGCTTTGTCATATTGTTTCTGTCACACTGTCTCAAGCCCCAGTTATTACACCTGCTGATGAGCCTCACTCCAGTCCTTTCAAGGAGGAATAGAACCGGCCCAGACTCACGCTGTGTGTGATTGGTCCTCCGTGCAGTGTGGGTCTAATTCCATATGACCCTGAGATTTGTACTGTGTTATATCACATTTATATCATATCGCTTAGTCCCACGCACAATGCTTTTTTTCAGGAAGGAAATTGGGTGAGTAATTGTCAGAATTCAGTGTCAGGAAACCCCCTTGGGGGTTTGTAAGACACTCTGATCTCCTGTTATTTGTATCCAGGCTGGCAGTAAGAACAAACACAGACACGTTACAGGTTAAATTAGTAACCGTTACATCTGATCCGAGTGCCTGCACTCACCTTTTGTGAAATATATTCCCTGTCTGTAATTTAAAGGGACACTACAGTCACCAGAGCAACTACAGCTTATTGTAATAGTTCTGGTGAGTATAATCAGTCCCTGCAGGTTTTTTGCAGTACACACTTTTTTCATAGAAAAGGCAGTGTTCACATTATAACCTAGGGACACCTCCAGTGTCCACTCCTCAGATGGCTGCTAGAGGTGCTTCCTGGGTCACTGACATTCAGTGTCTCCACCCTCTGCATGGAGACACTGAACTTTCCTCATAGAGATGCATTGATTCAGTGCATCACTATGAGGGGATGCTGATTGGCCAGGGCTGTGTTTGGGCCCGCCCTGCCCCACCCCACCCTCACCCAGCCTTCATGAAAATCTCAGCCAATTCAATGCTTCCCTGGAGAAACCAATTGGATTGCCCAAGATTATCAATTCTGATTGTGTCAGCAAAGAGGCGAAATGGGGGAGGGGCCAGCACTTGCAGACCCACGGCGAGACGGAAATAAGGAGGGGGGGCGGGGGAAGCCACCTAAATGGTGGTTCTAACACTATTAGGTCAGGAATACGTTTGTTACTGGTCAGAGGTTCGATAACAGATACAGTTATTCACTGTGTTTGTCTGTGGGCTGTGTTTGTTCACGTAGATCTACTGACATTTCAGATCCCGATATTCATTGATCTATGTGTTTGAGGTCTTCCTTTTAAACCTTG